GTATTATAAAAGTCGTTAAGTTGAAAGTGATGAGAAACGTATTGACTGTGTAATAAAAGTTGTATCGAGGAAGAATAAACTGGTTTAATCAAAAAGGGACTTGTATCGCTGAAGTTCCTCGGAAAGAATTTCTACCGGAAATTAACAAACAAACAGATACGTAACAATGTATATATATTTCACTTAGCCAAGTAGAAAACATATAACACACTTTTAAAATGTTACAAGTACTTATGGTAGTAGGAAAGGACCACTAAATCAAATGAATTTTTATACTGAATTATGCACACCACAGGATGAGATGTTTTAAACCCACTGTAATACTTTAATTCCTGGCTAGATACATCTACTTTTACAGTTATTAGGTATTCTATGCTATGAATGACAGTGTTTCACATTTAGAAGTGACAACTGCCACACACTACTATTTGAGACTTATACTCTACCACCTGAGCTACCGGGGTTTTAATTTGTGAGAAGACAGTTTTATTTTATTAAAACTGTAGTCATGGAATATTAAATAGAATGATGGTGAAGTTAAATCATAGCCTTTGAAAGATTTCTTGTTATCCCTGAATGGAACTTGTGAACACAATATAATACATGTTAGAGATATCTGTAAACCTCCAGAAAGGGGGTTCAGGGCCTCCAAGTTGTCTTAAGCAGTAGTTCCTGCCATAGGTCAAGACTGTTAAATGTTGCAATATTTTTGACAACAGGCAAGGTAAGTCATTATGGGGGTAAAAAATGGAAACAATACACATGAACAGAGCACAATAAAAACGGGTGTGACTGTCCGAGAAAAATATTAAATTTTTGTAACATGCCATTCATTGTGAACTATTTGCATATTAGTTTTATCCAAGAAATGATATGTTTTATATTAAAATAAAAAATTACACTGAATTTTATAGAACAAAATTATGTAAATTATAACTGCTTTTAATGTATCTGATATTTTTGTGGATTTAAGCTAGACATTTTGTATATTTCAGTCAAGACTCACTTTACATGAAACACAGTATTGCATGATTGAACTTGGCATGCAAATATAAATGATTTGTGTGATTATGAAGCATACTGATATACTATGTATGTGTAAGAGTTGACAAGGATGAGCATATACTAGTCTGCTATCATATATTACAACCAACTTGTATACTTCCTACTTACAAAAGCAACATTCCTTGCATATTTACACAAATGTACATTAAATCAGTGGGGTAAAAAAAGGCTTTTAAGTATCTCAAATCACTTAGACTTTACATGTTTAATTCTAAAAGTATCAATAAAGTTCTTTACATTTAGCCTATGTTCTCTAAGTATTTAAAAACCTAAAATTCTTTAACATCTTTCTGATTTAGCTAATGAAAACGATGAAAGGAAAAATACAAAATGAGATTCAGATAAAAAGTATAGAAAACCATAAACTTCTCAAATAAAAGTTTAAGTCAACAGTACATACTATTAGAAGATATACTTTTAGGAAATAAAAACAGATAAAATTTAAGTGCACTTCGAACCATATTCATGAAATATTCATCAGTTATTCAGTGTAATGTTTAAAAGTTACTGAAATCTGTACACATTAACTAATCTATGTAAAATAGTGTCCAACATTGACTGAAAACTGCATCTTGAAATCATTGTGTAGTTTTCAACAGAAACCAAACTTTAAAACTATTATTTATTGAATGTACAGTAGTATTCAATAGCTACAAAAAATTAAGTCATTTAGTTGTAACAGCAACCAAAAATTATGTCAAGTCATTTTATATAATTTTTGTCAGCATCCAAAAGTTGGAACTTGTAACCATTTAATGTACAGTAGTGTTCAGTAATGGCCTATGTGTGTGTGTGTGTGAATAAATTCACATAATTTCTAATAGCCACAAAAATTAGAGGCTACCAGTTTAATATACAATAGCAAGTAATGTAGTTTTCAACATCAAACAACATTTGGTCCACGAAATTATTTATTAACCTTATGTTCAAAGGTGAGAATCAAAGTGTGCATGCCATGACCTTTTATAGAGTGTCATTCAACATGGTATTATATATTTGATGATAGAGTTATCAACTATTCATTTTACCCTACATTGTTGATTTAGTAACAGTTTGTGGTAGAGGAGAGTAAATACCAGATACTGAAACAAACTATAGGTATGCATTGCAGACATTTTAGAGATTATGTAAATACAACGTGTGCAGTGCATGATGGGAAAAAATAACATTCTTGCACTACAACTTGTCAGAGCCAGACTGATGTTGGAAATTCACAGACATATCTTAGTACAAGTACTTTTGTAACACATCTGATTTTTTGTGGGCAACAGTCTTGTACATTTTACTAAGAGCTTGCCACATTATCTGTAGATACACATGGTAAAGTTGGAGTTATAGTCAACACTAGCAGATACCTGTTGAAACAATGGTACTTTTCTTAAAAATAGTAATGAATAAATATAAAATTTGCAGTCAACCCAATCCCTTGGATCAATATACATGCAATATGATTGTCTACTGGGCTATTTACAACCATCTTTTGTTATTCCATGTGTATTTCCATAACAAAAATTGCATTGAACTTGTTTTTAAACAAAGGATACTGAAAACAATACATTATTGGCAAAACTATTTTTTTCATGCAATGGGAGCATCCAACACATACAGCTCTAGCTTTGCTAAGTAGCCATTGGAATATTTTTTGCTGGATGCCACTGTTCCTTGTCTTCTTACTGAGTGCAAAGAAAGACCATCATAAAACTGAGCATCTTTTGACAGTTATCATTTCTATAAGTGTCAAATGGGAGATATTCAATTCAATTTATTCTATGTTGTACAATAAAATTGTCCATGTACATAATACTGACATAAAAACAAATATTTATAAACCAAACAGCAAATTTATACTCAAACACATTCCTCTCTCTCTCTCTGCATTTTTCCATCAGTCAAATGAGGAAGTTACCTTTTTACATGAAATTCCCTCACGAAAACAAACTTTTGTTTTTAAGTTTTTCTCATATTCATCATGTACATAGACTGATAACGATATAAAATTTTAGGAATTGCAAAAAATGAATAATTTTTTCTGTAATGTACTCTTGAAAAGAAGCATTTTGATATTTTATATACATATACATGTTTCTATTATTAACTGATCAGGAGACAGTATGTGACAGACAGACATTTGGCTACTACATGGATAGAAACCTTGAAATACAATGTCTCTAGAGTAACCTATGTCAGACAGGTTGCATCTGTAGTAACCATAATTTTACACTTAACTGTTCAGTGTAAAGAAACACACAGAAATTACAGAAATAAGTTATTTATTGCAATAACTATAGAAACTATGTACATTAACTATTCAATGAAAATAAAAACAGCTACTGAATGCAGTTTCAAAACTGATACAAAACCCCATAGATATTATTATACACAGTGTATTTTCAGCAGTTATTGAATGTTAAGTTCATCAATATTGTGCTTTTTATAATATTTTAAGAATTACTGCACTCTTTTCTGTCACTGAGTATATAGAAAATTATGAAGTTTACATGAAACATGTATAAAATAATCAAATCATGTGAAACTGTGACAAGTGGGTGTCCTGCACAAATTCTGGATATGTTTACTACAGCCATCTTCTTATTCCACTGAATGTGTTTTATCTAGAAATCCTGAGAGGTAAAAATCAGAGTAAATACAAACTATCAAATGTTTCTTTGTTTAGTACAAAGACAACAATACCTGCAAATGATGAGTAAACTGGAATGGATGGCAACTGGCTTTAGTAATAAAACACAAGTGTAGAGGATGATGTTTTGAAAGCATTCCATCTTCAGATAAAAGACAGAAGACTTTCAAAACATTGTCCTCTACGCTTTTGTTTTTTACAACAGGTAGTTAATGTCCATTCCAGTTTACTCATCATGAATAATCTGCCTAAACAATCTATCAAAGAATACCTACAAATTTACAATATCACTCAAAACATTTTTTCAAAGATATAAGTAGAAGTAATAATAATAATACTAAGTAATAAATAACATAAGTACCAATTTAATGCAGCTTAACACAGTAATTATTTAAATTAAACTATTCAAAATTTCATACACTATTCTTTTGATTCAAAAGAAATATGTAAAAATTGAAGATAGCATTGATATACGGAAACATCTGTTAGCTGAGTTCTTGCACAGATCTTAAAATATAACGTTCGTAAATGGAAACATCGGCTCATTTCAAAAACAACTGAAAACAGCCATCACTAAATGTTTTCCTGCAGTGAACACCTACTGTGCTTATTCCACACATAAGTTGTTGCCTGCAACACACACAAAGATCCGATACCTACCACACAGAAAAGTATGGTTATTTTTGAATTCTCGTGCCACTGCGAATGTAGGTCACACTTCACAAAGACTGTAGGATAGAATTAAACAACATGTACCCACATCCATAAGAACTAAGAGTGTGAAACTAAAGAATTGACCATGTCACTCGTGTAAAACAAAAGTTCTACCACCAAAAGGTGAATCAGAGATTGGTCAGCATTTACTAGTGAACCCGACTTGTGCTGACAGCTACACGGATAGCATGTTTGAAATTATTGCAAATGGTGGGCAACCTTTCTTCTCTCTATTTTGAAAGCCACCATATTAAAACACATAAACCTGTTCTTTGCTGCCAAAAATAATTCCTATACAATCTACACATCCTTCAGTAGGTTTGTGACATTTCTAGATTGGCTAAAGGACATGCCAATCAGTGATTACTTTACCGGCTTACATTGATTTTATAAGCTGTACTATTTCCTATAGATCATTTTCC